ACAGAAGGATTATTTTGAATCATACAAAGCTACTCTGGTAGTGTCCATATTATTATCTCATTTATCACTCTAAGAGTAAAGGTTTTGGTCTGTTTTTATAATCAAGACGTGATGAGGCACAGGTTTAAAGGGGTGAAATGTACATCTTTAAAGTTTGTGATTTGGCACAGTTGAAGACAAATGAATAACAACAATTCTATGTTATGTGGACTGCTGATTGTGTAGTCAGTCAATGACTTTGTTCTGTGGGTGAACAGGCAACAAGTTAAAATACTGTCAGATCTTTTTTTCCCTTTCCAAACATTTAAACGTTGCTTAAATGTTACGGCAGAGCCGTTCATGTTTTAGCATAACAAAACGACTAAACCCAGTCACTACATTAGAAAGATTTTTTGAGACGCATGTCCTCTTTTGTGGGTAAGCCAGTGCGTCCCTGATGTTGACTAATTTGCTTCATCCAAAAGACGAGCAGAAACACATTTATTCAATCTTTTTTTTTTAATCCTGTCAGTTTTGGTTTGTAATAAAGCCTTCATCTATCTTCAAAGACTGCAGCATCTCATATTGATTGATGCTGTGTTCTTTTTTTTACTCTTTTAAAAAAAAAAAAAGCAACATGTTTTTAGGGAGCAGATTGATTTGATGTTCTTTCCTTTGGATAACCAATCCACTGGGCTGTGCTGCTGTCCAGGCCTGGTTTAATTGACTGTCCTGGGGATACTACCAATAGTCATCCTGAGGCTTGAATCATCATTAAGCAGCAGAGCATTGATTTGTGTCCATCTAAAGGGTTTTCTGACACAGTGGGCTGGTCTGTGTCCCAAACCAGGTGGAAAACTACAGTGATGCATACTGAAGTCTCACAGGGCTTTAATGTCAGCTAATTAAGTCTGGCCTGCATGATGATGAGATTGATTAAATTCTGCTTCATTGGTTTTTTCTTTCCCACAATTTGTTTAAAGGGGACCTTTCCTCAACTTGTGTCATTTATATACTGTTGCAAAGGTTGATTCTTGCATTAAACATGGCCGAAGTTTCAAATAATGAGGTCAGTGTATGTGAACCTAATCCCTGGGAGACGAACACTCAAAAAGCTCTGTTTCAGGCAGTTGCTCTACTCTTAGCTCTGTGCATGAGATAGGATATCACTAATATGGTAATCTCAAACACATAGCTCGCTGGCTTTGTGCACAAAAGACTTACCAATCTGGTCAGAAAATCTTCTGCTTGCTACGGGCAGCCAATTGCAATAAAATTGGCTTTAAAGGAAGAGGACAGCTATTTCAGACAAACCAATAGGCTGAACCATAGTGAGATACCATATATGTAAGATAAGACATACCTCCCATATTTGAGCCACACGAGCTGTGAATCATGCAGATCGACTCTAACAAAGTCCAAGAATAAAAATATGGGGTTCAAAATGGTTTAACAGGTTCCTTTAAATACTTGTTTCTTCTACTTTCTGGAATATAGTCATATGGACTTCTTCATATCCCTAGCTAATATTGCATTGAACAGAAGTTCACAGAATTTGTGTAAAAGCCCTGTTAGCTGGTTAGGCTGGGCAACGTGTCTTTGCCCTCATGCTTCTGCCCTCTGCCTGACTTTGTTATTAGAAGAGCAAATACCAGAGGCGGCGGTGCAAACACACAGAAATGCCAAATGTCAATCAGCCGTCTCGCCTTGACCTTAGCGGATGCCCCGCATAAAGGAGATGGGAGAAGATGAGATATAAGAAAGAATGTTAGCAGCTTTTATATGTGATTTACCTTCAGTGTTAATTCTCTGGGTGGTGAAGGAGGTTACACCACATTAGCCAGTCAGTTCAGCTGTGTGTCTTCAAGTTATCAAGGCCAGACATATAGTCCAATTCAAATCAAATTTATCTTTAAATTGTGTCAACCTGAACAACCTGAAGGGTATATACCGACAAGACACTGGAGATCGTCCTCAGATAGAGTCAATGCTGTTTAGCTTTAGGGACAGAAGAACGCTGTGGGTTTAAAACACTGTTCACCAGTTAAATTAGAGACAGCTGCAGTTTGATTTATGGCAGGAAACTGTTATGTGCAGATGTATGTAAAAATAAATGTTGCAAAGTGAAAAGTGTTATTTCACCTTTCTAGAAGTAAAAAAACAAATCCATGTTTTCAATGGTATAAATGACAACTGTAAAAGTGTAGCTAAACAAAGATAAGTCATATTAAAAATCTTGTGCAAGTTAAAAATTACCCACTCATGTCTGTGTTTAGAGTGGCACATTTGAACTGGGTAGATCTGAGTTTTATTGGAATCCACTGATATTACTCTCATATAATGGCAAATATTGATTAGAAGGCATCTGGCTGCTTGCTACAGACCTAATGTTAACTTACTACTAATAGCCTGCTACATTTTAAAGAAAGATGGTGAAATGTTCCTTAAGCATGCTGCCCTGCATGTCAACCATTTCATTATACTTTGGGATTTTGCTCTTTAGATAGATTTAAGTTGCCCTTTCTGTGAATTTGTCTCTAAGCTGTACAGACACTCTAGCCTCCTGAATTTGCACCCAAAATGTTTCTAAACACAACCTTCATAATTCTTGGGCGGTACAGAGGTAACAGAAAAGTAAAAAGAAAACAAACAACTGCAAAGGATAATTTTTTCACAGCACTTTTGTATTTGGTGTAACATGGTAGATAATTGGAATTTCTACTTTTCAAATTGCAGCCTTGGCAGATTTGCATGGGATAAACATCACAGACTACCTCTGCAAATATTCCAACTGCACAGAGTTCCCCAGGTAGTACTAGTCAAGTGCAAACACGGCTTAATTCAACTGTGACTCCCAAGGAGCATTTCAATAAGAACTTCAATCACTGAACCTGAAGTTCTGCTGCATGCACAGTGGAAGCTCAGGATTATGCACAGTGGAAACCTGATAATGCACTTAGTAATCTGAATCAAATGAGTTTTCATATGCATTGTGAATGTTGGATGCCTCACCAATGTGGTGCAGTGTTTTGTTCTGAATTGAAATGATGATGAGTGCGATGTTACATATTTCGGTGCATTTGAATAATATATTCCTGTGCTGCTTCTAATCTATCTAATCAAAGCCTATCATGAGTTTGCAAGTACTATATGATATACCACCATATTATTAAACCATTAAGAAAATGTTACTGAACTGCATGCTGCGGAAATGAGAACTCTGAAACGAGTAGTCAAAAAGGCCAAAAACCTTTCTGGAACTAGTAACTATTACTCTTATTAGGGGTACAGTGGGGGGTAGTGAGACATTTTTGATTACTGTGACTAGTCAGCCTATGGACACCACAGTGTTCAAAGCCAAATATATTGTTGGTTTATGACTGACAACCGCTTCCTTCCTTCTTTCTGTGAGAACAAGACAGAACTGAGTTGAATCTGTGGGCTACTCAACAACAGTACACACTGGGACTGAACATAACAGAACTGAAGTGAAATGTGTGTAAAAGTGTCCAACGTAGCCACTGTCTGAGCTTTTCATGCTGTTCTTTTATCTTTGATGTTTGGTAAATGGACGGGTACTCATATAGCCTTTCTACTCAGTTGAGCACTCAAAGCGGTTTCTTACTACAAGTCTCATCCACACAAACATTCATATGCTTTTATCTACGCCTAAGTGCTTTCTGGCATTGACACAGTCTGATGGATGCATCAGGGGCAACTTGGAGTTCAGTACCGTGTCCAAGGATACGTCAGCATGTGAACTGAAGGAGTTCGATTGGTACCAGATGTAGACATGGTTAACATCTAGCTTTACTGGGTGTATGTGCTAACTGGGATTCAAACTCCAACCTGTTGTTCCAAAAACTAATGTCACTACTATACTGTCCAACTTTCAACCAATCAGCATTTGACGTATGTACAGTACGATTCATGTTGAGCTAAGCATTTCTGCTTTTTTTTTGAAGGGCTGCACCCAAGCACGTTTAAGTAGCTTGTGTATAAACAGAATCGTAAATAACCTTTAAGAGTGAAATAACCGTTTTCTTAATTGCATTCCCCATTTCCTGCTCTTGCAACATAGCTTTCATCCACACACTCATCACTCCTCCCATCCACCTGAGCCTGCTAGATGTATCTTGTGTACGTAGTTTGGGCACCAGCCATGCTTATTTATTTATTTTTATCTTTTTGAATTTCGCATCAGCTCAGATGAAGCTGATGCACACACACCCACGTTTCTAAAAAAGAGGGCAATTAGAGCCCTTCTGTGTGTGTAACCATGCTGCATGTCAACCTGAGTGAAGACGCGCGCACACACACAAACACACACACAGGAACACATTAAGTGCACATGGTCTCACGGCAGATGGTTTGGAGAAGATGCCAACAACTTACTGCACTGCTCAGCCCAGCAGACTGTGTGTGTGTGTGTGTGTGTGTGTGGATGAAAAAGGAAACAATCCAGAAAAAAAGAGAACATTTGCGATAATTTGTGTTTGTGTCTGAGTGTCATCAACCCTGCTATGATGGGATACATTTTTCTGAGACTGTGATGTGTGTGTGTGTGCCTCCATTAAAAAAAAAAGAAAAAGAAAACAGTTTTTTTTCTTCACCGGAGGTGGTGAAGAAAAAAACACAAAACCAAAAACATGAAAACATGCATCGACTCCCTGGAGAGCACATTTATGGCGGTAATGAACAGCAGATCTGCCGTGCTGAAAGGACAGAAGAAGGCAATTACAGCTGAACGTCCTTCCAGGTTGTGACCCCGAGAACGAGAGAGAGAGAGGTAGAGCGAGAGAAAGAGTGTGTATGTGTGTCTTGGTGGGAGGCGAGAGGACTACAGGACAGGGACAGTGAGACCCATCTGCTGCTGGTTGTGACCAATCTGCTCTCTCTCGCTCTCTGTCTCACACACACATACACACACTCACACTCTGAAGCAGTAAATCACCAGGAAGAGGCCAACATTAACTACAACACGCTACTCTGTGTCTGTGTGTGTGTGTGTGTGTTCTGACCTTCTCTTGCCAATGAAGGATCCCAATAATAACAAGGATGAAGACACACACGCCGATCAGTGCGATGGCCGTCAGCAACACGCTGTTGCTGGGAGTAAGGTACAATTTAGCGCTCCAACTAAGAAGAGGGAGAGAGAGGGAGGAAGAGAGACAAAGAAAGATTGCCATATGCTGTTTTATGTTTTGCCATAGTTTTATCTGACAGAAAAACAATGCAATTACCAAAATGCTGGACATTAGCAGAGACTGTGTTATGTTAAAATAAATAAACGAACAACTCTTTCACTTTCTGGTCATACAGCTGAACAGAATGAAAGACTGCGCTCTCTCTAGTTTCTAAGAACTTTTATGTATTTCCAGAAATCCAGCCACTTTGATGTATTAACTTTATCTTCATCATGATACATCTTGCAATCTGTTAGCTTGTACTTTGTGTGAAAAGACTACCAAGGCGCCTGTTTTCATATAAACAGTCAGTTAGTCTGATTTCACTTGTGGTGTATATGTAGGTATGTGTGCGTTGGCAAACATGCAAGTGTTATGAGCCTATCGAGGAAAGTGCATGTGTGTCATTGTTTGTCTGCGATGACTAGCCATCTGGAGCTCCTCCTGGGTTTTCAGCTACATGTGAATAGCGTCATGATAACATGAGGACACATGCTGCGAGGTAATAGCGTGTGTGCGTGAGCATGTTTTCTCACTTCTGGGTATTGTTTTGTGAAGATATACCACAGAGACGCTGTCTGGAGTGAGCTGAGGGTAACATTAACTCGAATATGCCAGCAAATGACATCAGGCGAGGCGGTTAAAAGTGTTGAATAGTGTCCATAGTAACAAATGTTAACAGGTTCTCTGAGCAAATTATATGACTGTGAACAAGGAAAGCAGCCATTTGTGACCCGTCTATATTGTATTATATCTAGAGGTGTAAGCGTTTATGTACCTGCGGGGTGTATCATGTGGGAAAGGCATGACAATAAGTTGAGAGTTGGGAATGATGGCCGTCCACTCCTTGTTCCTTATCTCCTGAAAAGAGAAGAAAAACACATTAACTGATTATCTTTATTCACAGTAATACATTATAGCAACCATATGTGCAATACAAGCAGACTGCTTTAAGATATGCACACACCGACACAATATGTATGTTAAGCCCTTCGAGGCAGAGTAATGGGTCTCATTCTTAGCTACTGTGGACTTGCTATTTTAAGCCGTGTGTTTCAGACATAGATAACCTACTACTTGAAATAAATTACCCAGGCTATGGTGAATAAAACCCTTTTTTTTCTTTATTGTGAGTGTGGTACATATGGCCGGGTGTATTTGCATGTATGATAAAGGATTTCTGTGGCAGTTTGTGTGCGAGCGCAGCCATCTGGAGAAGTCAGTCTCCGTCTTGATGAAATTCACATGGTCTTTTCATCATGTAACGCATCACATCGCAGCAGCAGAAAGGTCTGCTTTGAAGACTGAATTTATGGGAGTTGAAAGTTAGAACACACATTAAAAGTACATACAAAATTCTAACTGAAGTCAATTATTTTGACAAAAATCTCCAGTCCAGTAATGACTCACTACATCACATCTGAAGACTGCAGCTTGAAAATTTACAAGTTAGAGATTCAGAATTACTATTAAGTAAGATAAGTAGTGTTTTTGAATATTACCACTTCAATTTAGCAAATTCTGGAAAAACAAAAGTATTTTATGTTAATGATGTCTTGTCTCCTGTGTTTCATTTACAACTTGAATGCTCATGTTTACTGGTTTCTTTGTTTGGTATTATATCAACAGTGATTATATTAACACTGAGTGTCCACAGTGGCAGGGATACTGCTTTTAAATTATGATACATTCCTAGTTTACCCAAATAAGAGTTTTGCTTTATATTTCCTGATTAGATCTCGACTCATTTCTGTGTAGGCGAGGGAAAGACAGTGTTTGACAGACAGATCCCTCAGGCTCATCTTAAAGCTTATTTTAGTTTGAGATGTTTTAGTGTCAAAAGCTCTTGTTTGCAGGAACACTCTGAATATACTAAAGTACTTTTCTTGTGTAGAAGCTGCTCAGTGCAACCACAATCTGACCTGCTGGTCACTGAACAGCTTCCCTGTACAGGTAGGGGTACAGGTCTTACAAAAGGACACCACAGTGGCGATAATGAGGACAAATGGGACATACTGTCCAATTCTTTTTTTTTTTTTAAGCCTTTTTTCTGCCTACATTTGTAGACTGGAGCAGATAACTTACACTTTACTATGATTTTAAAGCATTTAGCCACATTGCCTGATTCAAAATTTAAATGCAAAAATGAAAGCCTGAAAGGTTAAGCAGGGCCGTTACATGCAGGTATCATGAAAATAAGCAAAAGTTAAAACAGTATGATGAATATATTGAACCTCATAGTTATGCATGAAAGCAGATTAGATTTCTTTTTTTAATTAAGACAACGGTAATGAGACATATGTACAAGAAAAAAACCCAACAAATTTACAAAGAAAAAATGATTTTGCTTTTACAGCAAGAAACCATATTGTATATTTGATTGTATACTAAAAAGGTGGCAAAACCTCATCACGCCACAAACATCCCTAATTACTAAATACTGCAATCATTTTTACCTTGTTAGCTCAAAGAGTAGGAGAAAGGAAGCCTGGTTTTAGCCTAGAAACATCAGGCTATGACTTGGATTTGAACGAGGAAATCGCTTCTCTAAAAGATCTGCAATTACAGAGTGCCTTTTAACTTTCTGCAAACCACTTTCCACTGTGTCCTTGCCAGAACAAGTTCAGTGTCTTGCACATGAATACTTTGGCACGAGAAGGGGCAACCCGTTTACCACACGAGTTAATTATGCCTTGCAAAGTGAATAAATGAGGCTACTTTGCAAGAGGAAAAAAAAGAAATCTTTTATATTGGGGAATATCTAAAGTTCTGAGACGGTTAAGACAGACTTAACATAACTGCAGAGTTTACAAACATTTGCTTGGAGAACTGTTTGACAGCAGCTTGACTCTGCATAAGTTTCAGTTTCATTTTTAGTTGTTTGCTGCCTTAGGGCTCAGCAACTAGTGGTGACATCTGACATGAGACTGACACAGGCCGTATTTAGCATCTTTATAAAACAGGGCTTAGGTTTCTGGAAAAGCCCAGTGTAGTCGTCTGTGTCTGCTAGCGTTCTTATCCATATTATTCTGCTTTAAGAGCCTGCTCAGGCAACTGGGGTTGTTCTCTGGCTCATAATGGGTTAAGAGCGCAGTGGTATAAATAGGAGAAGGGGGCAATATATAAATGATTTAAAGGCTGTAACTATACTCGCAGTTCAGAGGAAAGAATTCCAGTTCTACGTTTGGCAGAATCTGTAAGTGCCACTGCTCTTTAATTGTGACTCCTTTCTTCATCAATTGGAAGGAACTACATCTTGCTATTTTGAATAAGCGTACAGCAACGGCATTGCTTTTTACATAACAAGCACATTCTAGCCGCCAGCCATTGTCGCTTAGCTCTTGGAAAGCACTGCCGTTGGTGCGGCAACTGGCGGGGGAGCAGAGCTGGAGACGAGTCAGCCTCCACTACCGCTGCCTGGGAGCAGATCCGATCTGGCTGTTTGGAAGAGAAAAGTGTTCCTAAGTCTTCAGAGAGAACGAGAGATACTCTGGTTCAAAGCCAGGAAAACTGGCACACTATGGAGAGTGAGAGAGATAGATACAGAGTTAGAGGATGAGGAAGACAGAGAGAGAGTGAGAGTGACAAGTAGGGGACTGATTAGTGAAGTAAACCACTTTGAACAGCAAAGGGAATCCCCTGGGTGGAAGATAAGTGAACAGGAGGACTGAGACTCACAGAGAAAGATGAGGAGGGGTGAATAAATGAGAGGACTGATTGGACAGAGGGAAGAAGATATCCACTAAGATTCTACAAAACATCGCCTTCTGCGAACCAGCGGGCAGAAACTCTCTTTGTGCTGGAGAAAGTGTAAAGGGCACAGCAGGGGAGACAGGAAGAAAACAGGACAGAAATAAAGATTGAAACAAAACAAAAATGAGAGACAAGCAGATCAAGAGAGCTGGCAAACAGAAAGAGCTAAATAAGCCGACTGTGCAGGGTGGCGTAACGATCAGATTTCTAAACCTTCGCCTCTTTTCTCATTACAGGTAGATTCAATGGAGGTACTCCACTCCCCAGTCCCTCTGGGCACCAAAGAAAAAACTACTCTGCATAATAGCGCACATCTTTAGGCATTAATTAATTCACACTGTAAAAGGGACAAGAGAGGAGGAAAAATGAGGGAAAAAGGATTGCATTCCTTTGCATGGGAAAAAGGAGGGTGTGGAAAGAGGACAATAACGCAGTTTGTTTGTGATGAGTGTTCCCGGTGCCCTATGCTGTCTGACTAGCGGACTGAGCCATCTGCAATTCTAATCAGCTGTTCAACGAAAACCTTGGTACCACACAGGAGGGAAAAGGGGCCCTGTCGTGCCTAATATTCAGAGTGACAGTGCTACGTTACAGAGAGAAAAAGAGAGACGGAGACGAAGGCGGAGAGAGCTGAACTGAAGAGAGATGAGATTAGAGGTAGTGAAGAGTAGAAATATAGACAAAGAATAGATAAAAACCATAAAATAAAACCAATTTTTTATTATTACTATACTGATCTGTTGCCGTATGACAGGAATCACATATGTGGTTGATTCAGAGTCATTCATAAACAGTCATTTAGCTGGTTGCTCAGCAAAGATGTGTAGAAGTAGTAAAAAAGGAATCCATTAGCATTTCTATTTCAGTGGGAAGCTCGCTACACCTTTATTAATTCCTCTGTTGATGTCATCAATCATCCCATACATTAAAAAGGAGCTGTGTAATCTAGCTTCCGTAAAGCATCAATCTGTGTCACATAATTCTCTCAACCTTTATTTACTTTTTAGTCATTAAATGGGCAGGGAAATCTGATTTTCTTTCACCTAGATTCTACTGCGCAATCACGCCTCTAGTGAGATGTGGGTGGCAAAATATGCTTTTTCAAGTCAAATCATTGTTTATGACACCGGAGAAAATATTGTCCTCATTAAGCAGGAGAAGCAGAGGTAAATAAAATGTGAAAATCCCTACAAAAATAAAACTGCTGGCCTGTGTTTAGGTGAATTATACATAAATCAAACCAAAGACTTCCAGTAAAACTTGGAGAGAAAAAAAGTAGTAACTGTGAGATTGTGAAGATGTCATAGTTTTTTTTTAAAGCTAAGATGCATGATAATTCTTTTTTATATTTTATTTTTATATTTCAAGCATAAAAGCTATAAAATGTACAGACTAACGTCTCTCTTTCTATATTTATGAACTAACGTCAACAGCAAGCAAACAGTTGTGTTTATGTCATTTGGCAAACAAGGTATAAAATAGTTCCTTGCATAAACTACTGCTTTAATTAAAGAAAAATCTCAACCAAGCATTAAATGCCTTTGCAAGATTAGGGAGATACTGTAGTCTCTGTTTACCTCACTTTCTAATTTGATAAGAAAGTATGTGGAGGGAAATCCCTCTACTGAACCTTCACGAAACACCTTTCAAACTAATCTCACAATCCCTGGAAGAAATGTGCTACATCAAGCATCATCATGAAAAATGCTGGAGCAGTTGGAGAAAAACAACTTTTTTGCTCTCCGCTTATGACTTACAAAAAGTGCTTCAATTGCTCCCTCCATTAATTCATCCATCATTTGATATTTTCTTGGAAGATTTTCTTGTTTTTAAAACCACGATTCCGAGGCTCATTACAGAGACATTCAATGTCTTAGTCAGGCATGCCGTACACTGTTAAATTCAGGACACGTTAAGCTGCTCAGAAATGACTTAATCTGGCATTTGACTACAAGTGTTGTATTTTAAATCACTTTGCACCTGGGGTTGTAAAAGGCTCATTTTTTTGCACAACTTTCCTTCCTTTTGCTATTTGCTGTGACATAAGCTCTGTAAAGGAATCTTCCTCAGACATTCTGTGAGACCATGAACCCTGCAGCAGAAGTACTGGCAGTTATCTCGGTAAAATTTCCTCACCGTCTCTCCAGGTTGCCGGGGGATGCCGACGAAAAGGTGATCCAGGAAGTTGGCGCTGCGTCCGAGCCCCAGTACAGTGTAGGGCAGCTGGAGGGAGAAATAAGCTGACTGGCTTAGCTGACCAGCTACAGGAGGGAAGACAAAGAAAAGACAAGTTTGCCATCAATGAGGTATTCTTTTCAGCAAACACTAAAACCAAGTCAGAATATACATTAAAATATGCATGTATTGCCCTTGAATGTACAAGCAAGCATGTGCGGTCTCCAGATGCTGAATCATTATGACTCTACTGCCACCACAGTTAACATTTTTGCATTAATTAATTCTTTGGAAAGCACTCGAGAGAATGAAATTTGGTACACTTGCCAGTACAACTTTGTACTTCTGGCTGGTCAAGTCTGAAATTTATCATGAAAATACTTGGGGAAAAAAAGCTATATCATAATTCAGTAATCTATGAGATTCAACAATGTGCAAAAAGAGTGCAGCAAAAAGTCTTTAAAGAGCATTATTATAAGCAACTATAAGCAGTGCAGAAAATATAAACAGAAATTAGTGAACATTCTTGATACAAAGGAATCTTCTGTTGGGCTTTTTAAGTCTTAGGCTTTGGAATTCATGTACTTTAGAAGTTACTTTCAAACACGCCATCCATCTTAATACTGCCAGATCACAAGCCCCTCCCTTCCAGTGACACTGCCCAAATGTTAGCAGCATCCCTAAGAAGGACACTGCACCTTAAAACACCACAAAAACTGTGCAGGAATGACAAGAGGCAAGACAAAGGAGTTGATTCGGCCTCCAAACTCCCCAAATTTAAGCGTACAAGTACCAGAACAAGCCCGATCGACTCGCGACACCAAAAGGTTCCATTTCCGCCAACATCTTGGTGTCTGACAAAGTAGGAAACCTCAAAACGATTCTGTATCCAAGATCATTACAAGGTGTTGGTCTGGGATGGGTGGGAATGAGACACAGTGTAACATCTGAAGTCAAGTCAAATTTGTTTTTCGTACATTTAGAAACAACAAAGTGCTGTAGATTCCAGGAACGATATAAAGAACATTAAATCAACAACTTAGACTTCATCACTGGGCTCATATAATGTAAAACCATGTGCTCCAACCAAACCTATCCTGAGCACGACTGTTGATGACAACATGAATACGTACGAGTAACCATAATAAGAGGAATGAGAAGGAAATACACAACCAGAGCGACTGAGCCAGAGGGACTGCAGCATGAGACCTTGTGTTCTGACATGAAGCAGCGTCATAAAAGATACAAATCAGAGAGACACCTGAGGCCAGTGCAACACCTCTCTCTGTCTCTTCACCCAACCTCCCTCCTGTAATCTCTCCCCACTCACTTAATATTCTCATCCAATCCTCACTATTGTGTTTCCTCCTTTCTGCTCATCTCTCCATTCCTCTCTCTTGATACATCACTCTGATTTGGCCTTTTGCTTCCCCTTTCTCTCTCTCTCTCTCTCTCCCCTTCAGCTGCTGTATCTCGCCCACGCCACCCAACTCTGCCAAGTGCAGCCGACATAAATCAACCTCTATGTGGTAAACAAAGAGAGGGAAGGGGAGAGAGAGAAAGATGGAAGAAGAGAAAGAGAAAGCCTTGAGGCAGCCAGTGATCAGAACTAATGTGGATGGACTGCGTATTGCAGGCCAAGAGAAGCACAACAGCTATGCTTCTCTCTTTATTTTCTTTAATCTATGCCCAACCTCAGTTTGTCCGGTTCATTTTGGCCACCTGCAGTAAGGTCCTGTCAGTCCACCTGACTGCAGCTAAATATTTCTCTTCTTAAAAGCTGTTCCTTGCTGCACAAATAAAGCTGGCTTTTTACCTCAGGAACACTGCAGGGGTACAAATTGACCAGCCAGCGGGTGAAAGTATCTAGTAGCTACTATATGGTTTTAGTGCAATGAAAGCCTGTCCTTGATGCTCTAATGTCCACTCTGTGGCTCCAGTTAGCATGGAAGCTCAATGAACACCATTGACTTTTGCCATCTTCAACCAAAGAAAGCTTTTCAGCCGTGTCTATTTATGCCTAAATTTCTCTCGCTTGTTATTGGTCTATGCATTTTATTTTCACAGCTTTTCAGCACCGGGATGCGGTTTTCTGAAGAGGCAGTGTAATTGCCTTAATCACACACTGCACATGGAGAGAGACAGACGATGGATGGTCAAAAATATTGGCTGTTTCCAGGAGGAGCTGGACACTTACCTGAAGTACAAAGACAGAGCTTTTATGAGACATTGAAGCTGAATCCTGGGGTGTCTGACATTTACTGAGGTGTGCGCGCATGTGCGTGCATTTGTGTGTGTGTTAGGGGAATTCACCAGATCAGTAGAGTGGAAAGCTGTGTACTTCTGCAATGAAATTTGATTTATAAATGCTTTTTACACATAGCAACATCATCATACCAGGGATAAAAATGTTTTTCAATGGGTCATTCAGTTGACCACTTGATCCAGCCTGAAATAGCTCAAAAACCATCAAACAGACTGGCAAAAATTGACTATAATATACTACAGACTGTAAGACAATGGATCATGACTATGTTGGCGATTCTGAGACTTTTCATCCTACCCCAGCTGGTTAAATTTACATGTGCATTACATTTAAAACATGTGGACAAACACAAAATCCAAGTTTACCAAAAGTAGTTTTTCTGGCAACTACAAAGAAAAGTTGAGGATGTAAAAGGAGAAATAAATAGCAACGACGCTTATAGCGACCCCAAGTCCTGATTGATCAAAATCAGAATGATGGTGTTTCAAGATAGAGTACCTTTGTTGATATCTACAGAAACTGGGGCAACAAAAACCTCAACAACAACAGAAACGGCATCTCTGAGTAAGAATCTGAATGATTTGAATTAAAAAAAATAAATAAAAATTCTTGTCAATTGCTACTTTTGTACCCACACATAAATGTGTGGGAACAAAACTGGTGAATGTGGGACAAGGGTGTGAGGATAACACAGTGGGGGGATTAACCAAGTAAACTTAGAGTTTTTGCTGCTTAACTTGACAGGTCGGAACTCTTGTTAACCACTTCTGTCTTTAATCTAAACAATTAAATAGCCTTTAGGGTTATTTTTTTTAATAGTTGACAACCAATAATTTATTGGCAGACTAATTCTTCTCTGTTCTCTATCCTGCAGTTGTGAAAAAACCCCCACTTCATTGCTTCACACAGAACCTCAGAGCCATGGTGCTGAACAAAAGGGGATTTTTGAGGGGATTGAACCTTTAGGCCAGGTTTGGTTTGATGGTTTTGACAGAAGGCTTCTCCTCGTTTGTGGGCAAGAGGTGGATAGCTTGCAGCCCGCCACTCAGCAGGGTAGAGTGGGTGAGAGAGAGAGAGAGAGAGAGAGAGAGAGTGTGTGTGTGTGTGTGTGTGTGATGGAGGATCAAGCAGGGTTATATTGCAGGCAGGGAGCCTGGCTTAACGTCTGCTGAGTACTGTGCGAGTGCGTGTCTGAGTAGACCGGCTAACAAACACGGCCACGGCTGGAGCAAAGCCATTTCACAACACGGGGAGGCTGGCAAAGGGTATTATGCAGAGCAGTGTATCGGAGTGTCTGCATTTTGTGTGCGCTTGTGCATATGCGAGCAAGCGCATTTCTGTCCTATCTTCCAATAGCAGAGCCAGCGGAGGTCTTGGCAGGGGATTCCACCCTGCACACATGACTGACAGCCTACAATCCATCTCTTAGAAGACAAAGCGGATTCAAAGTAGCACAAGCAGTCACCCTTGGTGTGTGTACATCTGTGCGGACTTCTCATTTTCTCAAGTTTTAAACACAGACACACTTGTGGGCAGCATGATGTGCTTCGATTCAACAAGTTATTGCTCCAAAGCCAAACACATCGACAAGCAAACGCTCAAGACCACACGCCCACGAAAGAAAGTACACAGATATCCACAGGGTCCAACCCAATTTGTGCCAAAAGAAAGAGAAAAGAAAAATATAATAGAATGAAAATAAAAAGTTGCTCTTCATTGAAGAATTACATTTCATTTTACTGATTATATAAAACAAAGTATAGTATAAAAAAGTCTTAGAAATCTTGCTTAAGTCCTTAGAACTGAACTTGATCATCCACCTTGTTACTCCAAACATGGATTGGTAGAATACAAAACACGTTAATGTCTATTTTATTATTTTGTGTTTATATTATTTTGAGACAAAGGAAAGTAAAATAAAAGATTTGGAAATGCCACCGACTGTACACCTACTAAAGTAAACTGAGATGAGGTGGTTGCTGCTGTGATTTGATGCCATACAAGTAAAGCTGAACTGAACCTGAGCCCATGGACATCACCAAATTCTTTGTTTCCTCCCTTGAGATGCCCATCCAGGGCTTTACTACAGCCATCATCACGTTTAGCTTGTTTCTACATTCAGTATTGTATTTAATAACTAAAGAACATGCTATATCAGGTTCAAATCAGGTGACTGACATGGTCACTGAAGTGCTGTTTGATCAGTTATGCAGGATTCTGCTGAATCTGAGCATAGAGTGTATAGTGCTAAACACCTCAAAACTCATCCTGCTACTTCTACCAACAGTCTCATCATCAGTAAACACTACTGGCCCATGTACCACTGGCAGTGATATGGCATGTTTTGGATCATGAGCCGTTCCTTTCCTTCTACCTACTTTTATCTCTCTAATCTTGGTTTCTTCTTTCTAAACTATGCAGGCTTTAAAAAATATTTTCTGCAAGTCAAATCCTGACTTCCTGTTCTTGAGTATAACCAGTGGTTTGCACCTAAATCTTCTGTACTTTCTTTCATAAAGACCTCTCCTGATTATAGAACTTGACAGGCCTCACCTGGCTATAAAACCGCTTGTCGATTCATTTTAAACCTCTGAAAATGCACAAGTTTTGTAAAACCAGTTGAATTAAAGCTGAAAGATTTAAAATCAACTGTAGCGGTGTATAAAAATTGTGTCTTTGTCTAACAAATTATGGAAATTATTATTTTTTACTCTTCTAAATCATCATTATTAGTACAGCACTTTTGTGTTATTTTATGTTTTATGTTTTCATTCTTGAATGAGCACCCTCCTGTGCAAAGTCTAGCTGTGGTAACTCTGA